ATCCACTATTTCTATGGCAATGTTCAATAGCTATGTAAACGTTTACCAGAGGGTAGATGCGATCCCACAAAGATCTATGGCAGAGTCAGTATGATCGGAAGATCCGGATACATTTGATGAGAAAAATCTGATCCTTGGTTCTACAACGCAACATATGAGGCTTTTCATAAATGGGGGGCCCCTCAAATCATCCATTTCAACGTGTTTTTTTTTCCCGTCATGGTATATTAAACCATCCATTTGGGGGTATCCCCCCATTTATGGGAACTTGAACCTCAGAATATGTTTCTTGTGAGCCGAGAAAACACTGGAGCTTTGGCATTGGCACGACACTGAAACCTGCTGTGGGGAATCCAATAGCAAATTGGATGATTTAGGGGTACCCCCCATGAATTGGAAACCTCAATATAACAATGACCACCAGAATCATCCCTTGGTGTGTCCTTATCAACCTTCCTTGCCCATTATGTATATAGTGGAAGTTAAATTTAAGACCCCATAGCTCACCTATTTTGGGATTTCTTCAGTTTGTGTGATTCTCATTGCTAGTCCCAATGTCATCAGTCACATTGCTGGAACATCCACCAGCTGGACTTCCATCTCTGAAGCTCCATCATGTAGGGTGTTGTTCTATTATTTCATGGCTGATTTCATGTTTCATGTTCCCATACTTTTCCCATTTTCCATGATTGACCCATGATGTTTATGTTTGTGTTTGTGTTCCCCTATAAATCTCCTAAACAAAAACAAAGATGCTCATGATTTAATAACCCCTGTACATCCAATGTTTTTTCATTATCATGGTTGCAAGCCATTGGATGTGTTTTTAATTAAACATTATAAGTGTTTAAAGTTTAAACATTCATTTTTTTTCTCCAACAACGCAGCCACCTCCAAGCTAAGAAACTGGGCGAAGACGGCGTAGGCGAATGCCATTTAATTTGAATGCAAGCATCACTCAATCAAAAGAACTCATGTAAAGGTGGCACAAAATTGAGCGGATTATTTTTTGCAGCAAATCTGGAGGCACACCCCATCAAGAAAGCGAAGATATGATCCGGAAAATGGAATGAACGAGAAATGTGCAGGGAAGCTACGTGGCAAAATCCAAAACTCAACAAATGTGTAGATCTCAGGGCATTAATGGACAGCTGGTGGGATTGGAACAGTCGCATGGCAGCTCGCTTGAACCTTTGGACAAGCACTTTCAAAGTCATGGATTGATTTATGAAACCCGGAAAGTATCCAAACTGGAAAACAAAATCTGCCATGATTTCAACCCACGACGTTCTATGGATGGATCTATGCGATCCAACGACCCATGCCGATTGGGAGAAAAATTCACAAATAGCGCCAGCTGCGCTGGGGCTAAGCCGCATGGGTCCGGCAGCCAAAAATGCAGGATCTGGACTTGTGACTAATGGCTGCCACATTTCTTGGGGATAAGCGATGGCGATATACCTGTTATGGTGAGAAGATACTCTAGTTCTGATAAAAGGACTAATTGGTTCGCCTCGCTTAACACAAGAGATGAACATGTTTTCGGCATCACCGGCACGGATTACCAGTGGGCGACACGTCCCAGAACAAACAGAACCCTTAGAAAAAATCCGAGTTTTGGGGGCGCAGGAGCATACAAATGATGAAGTCAACACCTTGTAATGGGGAAAAAAATCTTGCCCCGCTGGTATCTCCGCTGGTAACATTTTGAAGAGCGAACTACGTGTGGCCAACGTATGGACCAAATGGGCCTGCAATGACATGGCCAATGCAAGTTCTTCGCAGGCCGTTTGTTGGTGGGCTTCGAGGAAAGCCCAGGCAGTATCTTTTGCTAACTTGTCAGCACAAGAATTACCTTCGGTGAGAAAAGGATCTTGACAAAGGTCGTGTTTACCACAGTGGGCTTTTACTTTATACATCGCGAAAGGCTGGCTTCGCTTGTTGGCCACAAAATTGAACAAAACCCACAGATCCCGATTGTCAAGATTGGTGATACATTTATTTGAGAAGCCACAGCGTCGTAAGAAATTGACAATGTTGACCACATTTGCACAATCGGAATAAATTGTGATATTTCCGGCGCAGTGCCACAAAGCTGCGATGACTGCAAATATCTCAGCCCGTTGGCTTGTTTGATCAAGGCCTGGTAGGAGATAAGCTTTTGAGCATCCACACTTAAAGTTTAAACATTCAACATTTCCTCCTAAACCCATATGCTCCATGTATGGAATATTTACCAACATTTGCCCCAAAAAACACCCAGTTTTGTAGGTAAATATACCATACAGCATATGGGAAACCATGTTTTTTTTTCCAATGGTTTTCCCATGAACTCGGGGAGTTCCACGCAAACATCGCTCGCTGCAATTCCCGAGGCCTGAGTTGTTGCCAAGGGACAGCCCTGACCATCCCTTTAAGGCGAAAATCATCGGTGTTCCGTTGGACGGACAGGGCTGGTGGTGTGTGACTGGGACTTTTTTTGATATGAAAACGGATGATTAATGGATGATTCATGATCATTTATGATCATTTATGTTAGTGTCACTGTTTTTTACACTAGCAATGATTGATGTTAATTGATGAGTAATGATAAATGATGATCAATGTTAGTATTTACACCAGCAATGATTGATGTTAATAAACCATTGGGGATTTGGCGGGCAGGCTTATACCACCTGATAGTGCTTCATTTATCACGTGTTGGCATCTTTTTTGGGTGGTTTCAGTACATGATTTTATATGATGTGCGGCCCCAACACAATAGCCAAGTTGATTTGTAAGTAGGTAAATTCTATGGTTTGTGGTAGATATGACTGTATAGGACTATAGTTAGATGTGATCATAAACCAGCTTACAAGATGCAGCCCACGAACCCGAATGCAATCACGTAAAACACTTTTGTGAAACAAGTGATTTTAAAAGTCTTGTACTTGTTTCCCCTGCTACCTTACCAGTGCACTGGAGACTGTGGAATGTGGAATGAGGTGGAATGCAAAGTGTGGAGTGTGAAGACAGTGGAGTGTTGAGTGGCGAGTGTAGTGTGTAGAGTGTGGAGTGGGGATTGTGGAGTGTGGAGTGTGAAGTGTAAAGTGTAAAGTGTGGGGTGGAAAGTGTAAAGTGTAGAGTGCAAAGTGCAAAGTGCAAAGTGGAAAGTGTAAAGGTTAGAGTGTGGAGTGTAAAGTGTAGAGTGTGGAGTGTGGAGAGTAAAGTGAAGAGTGTAGTGTGTGTGGAGTGTGAAGTGTAGAGTGTAAAATGTGGAGTGTGGAGTTTAAATTGTAAAGTGTGGGGTGGAAAGTGTGAAGTGTAGAGTGTGAAGTGCAAAGTGTAAAGTGTAAAGTGTAGAGTGTGGAGTGTAAGGCGTGGAGTGTGCAGTGTGGAGTGTAAAGTGAAGAGTGTAAAGTGTAGAGTGTGGACTGTAAGGTGTGTCAAGTGTAAAGTGTGGAGTGTAAAATGTAGAGTGTGGAGTGTAAAGTTTAGAGTGCGGAGTGTAAAGTCTAGAGTGTAAAGTGTGGAGTGTGGAGTGTAAAGTGTGGAGTGTAAAGTGTAGAGTGTGGAGAGTAAAGTGTAAAGTAATTGTAAAGTGTAAAGTGTAGAGTGTGGAGTGTGGAGTGTAAAGTGTAGAGTGTGGAGAGTAAAGTGTGAGGTAATTGTAAAGTGTAAAGTGTAGAGTGTGGAGTGTGGAGTGTAAAGTGTAGAGTGTGGAGTGTAAAGTGTAGAGTGTAGAGTGTGGAGTGTGAAGTGCAGAGAGTGTAGAGTGTGGAGTGTGGAGTGTAAAGTGTGGAGTGTAAAGTGTAGAGTGTAAAGTGTAGAGAGTAAAATGTGGAGTGTAAAGTGTAGAGTGTAGAGTGTGGAGTGTGGAATGTAAAGTGTGGAGTGTAGAGTGTGGAGTGTAAAGTGTGGAGTGTGGAGTGTAGAGTGTAAACTGTGGAGTGTAGAGTGCGGAGTGTAAAGTGTAAAGTGTAGAGTGTAAAGCGTAGAGTGTAAAGTGTAGAGTGTAAAGTGTAAAGTGCAAAGGGTGGAGTGTAAAGTTTAGAGTGTGGAGTGTAAAGTGTAGAGTGTAAAGTGTGGAGAGTAACGTGTAAAGTGTAACAGTGTAAAGTGTAGAGTGTGGAGTGTAAAGTGTGGGATGCACGCACGTATGATAACGAAGCCCTGAAGTCAGAGTTGTGCAATAGTGGAATCCAGAGCATTAGTAGCAAAAGAAGCTGTGCAGAGCAGGGAGCATGAAGCGTGAAGCGTACTGCATATATAATGTTGGAAGCAAAACATGGAGCATAAAGACAGATGTAACGCTTGAAGTGTAAAGAGCAGAGTGTGGACTGCTTGTCACACTTTTTTGCAGCTTCGACTTGTAAAGTGTGGAGTGCAAAGTGTAGAGTGTAAAGTGTGGAGTGTAAAGTGTAGAGTGTGGAGTGTAAAGTGTAGAGTGTGGAGTGTCAAGTGTAAAGTGTAAAGTGTATAGTGCAGAGTGTAAAGTGGAAAGTGTAGCGTGTAAAGTGTAGTGTAAAGTGTAGAGTGTGGAGTGTGGAGTGTAAAGTCTAGAGTCGTAAAGTGTAGAGGGTAGAGTAGAGCGCGGTGTGTCAAGTGTGGAGTGTGAAGTGTGGAGTGTAAAGTGTAGAGTGTGGAATGTAGAGTCTAGAGCGTCAAGTGTAGAGTGTAGAGTGCGGTGTGTCAAGTGTAGACTGTGGAGTGTTAAGTGTGGAGTGTAAGGTGTGTCAAGTGTAGAGTGCGGAGTGTCAAGTGTAAAGTGTCCGAAACACTGCGCTTGCCACGCCAAAGGACATTCCACGCACGGCGGTCCGCACCAAATGACGCGCTTGCCACGCAAAATGACATTCTTACGATGTCCCACGCCTGCCACGCGAATGGCGCGTTGACGCCACTTGACGCTTACAATGCGATTCGCAACAAACACGCAACACAACACATCTAAAGTGCTGCGCCTGCCACGTATACTTAGAGTGGAAGTCTCCAAAGTGCTATACACCTGTCACGAAAACTGCAACTCATCTTTTGAAAACGACACAAACGTATTGCGCCTGCCGCACAAAACGACTTTCAACACGTTTCAAGCACGTGAGAATATCACCAAGTGACACGCCTGCCACGCAAAAACGACATGACAACCGGCTTGGAAACCTTCGAAAAGGATAGGTTTTGCAGCTTCCCCTGTAGACACGGCGAGGCCAGAGGAAACCAGAGACTCGAGACGAGGCATGTTGGAGCATCAAAACGAGCGTTTCGTGCGATACTTCCTCCAATCTTCACACTTTGTAGCTTCATAATCGACGTTTTCCTTTAGTTTGCTCATGAACCATCATGAACCTCAAGGTTTTCTACCTCAAAATCGATGTTTCGTGCGAGGCTTCCGTCCATTTTCATCACATCTTACAAAATGCCACGCCTGCCATGGAATTTGCACGTTGTCACAACTTGACGCAGCCCTGACAATGCGATTCGCAAAAAACACGCAACACGACACGTCTAAAGTGCTGCGCCTGCCACGCAAAATGACGATGGACACGTCCAAAGTGCTACGCCTGCCACGAAAAATGCCACTCATCTTCTGAAAAACGGCGCAAAAGTTTTGACACGCTATGAAGCACGTCTGAATGTCACGAAGTGCCACTCCTGCCACGCGAAACGAAGCTACGCGACGTTTGGAACCTCCAAAAGTGACCCCTTTTGCAGAACTCGCCATAGGCACGGCCATAGGAACCTCGCACGAACGGTTGCGAAAACGGTTGCGAGTGGTTGCGGCCGTAAACGTAACGTCGAGCGAACACACCCTCAACCCCCAGACCCCCAGAGTGAAACGGGAACCCTTGCTACGCATTCGGGAACTATAACTTTTTAAAAATGTGATTTCATGGGAGATTTAAATGGTTATTCATGGGGGTTGCAATGGTTTATGTTGTAAAACAAATGTATTGATGCTAATCACATGGTAACCACATGGTGTCGAGACCAAGGGAGCCCCTATGGTTTCATGAATATTTAACAGTAACAGTATTTTATGTAAATATTATATAGATTATTATAGATTAGGTTAGATTGGATTAGGATTAGATTAGATTTTATAATATTATATAGAATAGAATAGAATAGAATAGAGTAGAGTAGAGTAGAGTAGAATAGAGTAGAGTAGAGTAGCATAGAATAGAATAGATAGATAGATAGGTAGATAGATGCGGTGTAGATAGATGTGGTGTAGATAGATGCGGTGTAGATAGTTGTTTTTTTGGTCCTATGACTGATGTTTATTCATCTCACCTGGATGGTGTTTGAAGATGAAGTTCCCTAGTGATTGGGGGGATGTTTGCTTTTGGATGATTTCCTCTGTTGACTTAAGCGCAGCGTATCGGAAGGACATTCAATGTGGCCCTGAACAAATGGCCGATGGTATTTGTTGGTCCGCACCCCCACTAGTATGGTTGTTGTACCAGTTTCCTGTCTGATTTGTCTAAAATAGTAAGACATATACCGTTTTTCGGCCAATAAAAATTACCAAAATGTCTGTAGACGAGCGATTGGATTTTGGGGCGCCCTCTTTTTATCGGATCTCCCCTGGTTCCTCTGCATATCTCTGCGCGAACTGGAATCGATGCGCTCGCAACTCACCTGACTTGTTCACTTTGCGTGAAAGGGCCATGAAACCAAAGGTCCATTGAGGATGCCAGGTAATCCCATTCCCCGATTATACAAAATAACCCCAATGAATGGGCCCCAAAAATGAAGGGTTCCAGGGGTATATACCAAATTGTTGAATTTGAGGGGATGATCGCATACCTCACCCTGGTTTCAGTCACTCGCGCGCCACCAACGCCAGGAAGACACCAATGCCTGGTTGGCCCGCTCGGGTGACGAACAACCCGCTCGCAACAGGAAGTACGTTGGGAACCTAAGGAAACGCCCTGAAAGGCACCCCCCAAACCACATAATAAATGATCATATAATATCATACATGGTGGGCCCCCCTAGTAAGTTGCATGTGTGGCTTATAATCCCATGTAACTACACTTAAATCTACGACAGACCATAGAATTCACCTACTTACAAACCAATTTGTCTATCGTTGGGGGGCCCCACATCATACAAGATCATGTACGGAAAACTCCCAAAAAGATGCAGCAGAAACGGCAGAAACGCGATAAATATGTTTTAGTAGGATATCACATATATCTGCATATTTGTGCTGTTATAAACATCGGGGTGACATCCAAGTCCAGGAACCACTGCTCAGGCAGGCCCAAAATAGATAGAAACAGATGGGACACCTTGGAAGTATGTATTAAATATGTATGAAATATCAAAGAACTTCCTGGAAAAAAAACAAACAAACTGTTCGGCATATTTTTTGGCATTGCTACATAGCAAATAAACAACCTCCAACTTACCAATTTTTAGGGCTATATAACGGAGTATCAGAACCGCTAAGAAAAGCATAATCCAATGGAGGTTCATGATTCGGTTTACCACATTGCTAAAAGATATGTTGTCCATTTAGGGGTATAAGTTTTAACTCATATACCCACTTGGTGCTTGATTTCCACTTTTACGAGACAGAACATGGACAGAGTCTTTGACAAAGCCAAGATGCACCAAGTTGAAAGGACGTCATTGCCATTTGCTCCATGAGCAACTTGAAGAGGTAGAAAGCCATGCTATCCTACTTTGATAAAGATATCCAGCGTTGATATATCAAGGTAGAATGGGTCACACATGATATCCAACTTTGATATCAGACAAGCGAGATTCAATAAATCTATCAAGTAATTTATCTGGAAAGAAGCTCCAACAATACGAATTTGTTTGTGGTCCATGATTTGTCCAGGACTTAGTGGTCCTCAGTTTGTCTCAGGTATAGGTATGAGTGACCAGGGACAAGCTCTTTGAGTCGGGCATCGGGTTGAAAGTTGCCAATAAGCTACCATATTTTTTGGTTTCCAAGAATTGGTTTCTGGCAACTACACTACGAGCAGATAAATAAACGAGCAGTGTTCAAAACTCCTGTTGGTTGACGATTAAATCGGAGGTGATACTTATATATCTATATCTATCAATATCTATCTATACCTATCAAAAATCTATCAATATCTATCAACATCTATCTATATCTATCTATACCTATCAAAATCTATCAATATCTATCTATCTATCTATCTATCTATCTATCTAATTAACCTATCCTATCTATCTATCTATTTATCTTTCTATCTATCTAATTAACCTATCCTATCTATCTATCTATTTATCTATCTATCTATTTATCTATCTATCTATCGATCTATCTATCTATCTATCTACCTATCATTCTATCTATCTATCTATCTATCTCTCTATCTATCTATCTATCTATGTATCTATCTATCTATCTATCTATCTCTATCTATCTATCGATCTATCTATCTATCTATCTATCTATCTATCATTCTATTCTATTCTATTCTATTCTATTCTATTCTATTCTATCTATCATTCTATTCTATTCTATTCTGTTCTGTTCTATTCTATTCTATTCTATTCTTTTCTATCTATCTATCTATCTATTCATCTTTGCAAATATCATAATCCATGAACTGAGATTTCCGTTCTTATCCAAGCAGTATTGTTACGGGTGACGTTGATACGTTGCGGGTTCTGAACACTGCTCAATGGGCTTTCAAATGGTTCAAAACTGGGGATAAACCATGACAATGATAAGCCTTGTCTGACTACAGATATAGCTGCCATAAACATCCATAAACCATATTTAACCTACAGTAATCCCAAAAAGATGTCGACAAGTGTTTCCAGGATGGAAGTTCGATGATATTTCAAATAATTTCCAGATATTTCCATCTGTTCGGCATCTTTCTTGCGGTTGCTATAGTTATAAGAAATGTATAAACCAAGTTAAAATAACTTAAACTTAGCATAACTTAGCATGACGTTGCTATCTTGCGACCAGGACGGTCACAGTCGGTCCCAGCAACCACTGTGGGGTTCCAGGGAAACCCGTGGCGGCGCCACAGGTCTCAACCTTGACACGCTCGAGGCAGCTTTTGACAGTCGACGGATGACTGTCATGCAGAAATCATCAGTGATTAGTGGTTTGGAACATTATTTTTTTTGACTTTCCATTCAGTTGGGAACGTCATCATCCCAACTGACTTTCATATTTTTCAGAGGGATTGAAACCACCAACCAGATCAGTGGGGTATAATCGAATATAATAAAGAAATTCCAGATAAGTTCCAGATTATAAGGTATTATCGAATTATACTAGTCACTTGAAGTTCCAGATTTTGAAGAATCTATAAAAACACGTATATTAGGGAAAAAAAATGAAAAACAGGCTTTGGTTTATTCCTGGGTTTGCCAAATAATGAATCGTTGGCCTTGGACTTGTAAATTCGTGTATTCAATACTGTTGAAAAGGTTATGGTGTTTGAATGTGTACGTTCTTGGTCTCCAGCAAGAAAGATTTGGAACACCTAAATCATACTAGTATAATTGTAGGGTATACATTGGTATACGGTATACTGTATTTAACAATAGATATATTAGATAGGTATGCAATGGTATGTATATGCCCTTCTTAGTATCTCAAGAACCAGACAAATGCAGATTAATGAACCATACGTCGAAAAAACAATAGCACATATGGATACATATGGGCAAACATCATGATCAATCCTGGAATCGCCCAAACGCCACTGATTTTCTCAGACATGGGGCTGCAAACGGCCAGCCTTCGCCGTTTCCCTGGGTCTCAAATTGTATTTGACAATGATGACTTTGGAATTTGGAATTGCTCAGCTTTATTCAATAATTGAAATACTTCTAGATACTTCCAGGGCGGGAAAAAAGAACGATATTAACAGGGCTGAAACAACAAAAAATCGAGAAATCCATCAAAGATGTCCAAATTGCCAGTTTCAGATGTGTGACCTCACCCCAGTGCTTAGCAGGACGGAGCCAGACTTGTGAGGGACATGTTTCACATCGTCGTGACGCGCATGCTCCATGATAGCAGCCATGGTATATTTCATGAGGGATTTCACCAATAAAAAAGGTGGGATTTAGTTGGTTTTACCCTCTGGTAAACAGCCACATCACTATGGAAAATCGCCATGTTCAATGGGTAAATCAACTATTTCTGTGGCAATTTTCAATAGTTTTTTGTTAGTTTACCAGAGGGTGTATGGGAATTTTTAATTGGATGAATCAATGGATGTTGGGTAGCCTATTTTCAGACGAACCCATTTATGGATTCGCCACCAATTTATTTACCATTCATGGTGTTTTTTCCCTGGAATACCATGTATACAATCATGTGCACTGTACCATCCATTTACTATTTACAAACCATACATCCATAACTATTCCTGTAAAACATCCTTTTGTCCCACATATACAACCATAACTATACCATTTACTATTTACAAATGTGTATCTTTTTTTAACCAGAAGATGTGGGTTCAACTATCCAACCGTAGTGCTGATTTGATTGATGGTAAAGCAACAATAAACCACCAATTTTTACCACCTATATATTGATGATTTGATGGCTGGTTTCTAGCAATCCTAAAAATGGTAAGTCATTGGGGATGGTGGATCCTATTGTTTTACTGACAATACACTCGCTATGCTGGCTAGTGTAGGGACATGTGGGGTTGCGGTTGGGACATGACCTTTGACCATTTTTTGTCGGATTGAATTGTCAAAAGTCTCAGCTGTTGAGGCACAGAAAAATTGCCCGTGCCATGTCATGTTGGCATATCTTCACTATTCATTACCATCACATTCTGTAGCAAACTCTGAGGCATGTGGGTGATCAGTTGAGCCTTCCTACCAAGTGCTAAGTCCAGTGATTCATGGTATCCACGTTGCTGCATGCCCTTCCGATCTTTGAGTTGCCATGGAGCGCCATGTATTTCGGGCATTTGGCAAAGCCAGGCCCATTTTATGGCAGTGTGTGCCCCTTTGTGCGACGCTAGAAATGGAGACGCACCGGGTGCGTTACGGTTTTTTATTGGGTGAAGACGGTGAAGACAAACCATTAGTCTTCGACAAACAATCCTTTCGGGGATTCGGGATGAATCCACATGGAAGCATCTTAGATTAGACTGGTTTCCTGTGCTTGCACAGATCTGGTTAAAAATGAAGATCTGGTTGGTGGTTTGGAACATGATTTTTTTCCATATATTGGGAATAGTAAACCCAACTGACTAATATTTTTTTTGAGGGGTTGAAACCACCAACCAGAGATGATCAGAATAGTTTGAATTACAATGAATTGCAAATTTGCGGTACACAAAACAAGGAAAACATGTTTTGATGTTGCACAGTTCTTGGGAACCCCGCACTTATAAAAATTGGGCTTGGCGGTACAATGTTGCGCTACCATGTTTTGCCGCCTGATTATGATATTTCATGACGCTTCACGATGATGCGATGTTTGCAAACCCTCTCCTGCACCTCATATTAATTCATATTATATAGTGTATATATATAATCATATTATTATAGTATATTATAATGTATTATGATTATGACATGTAAGAACATATATTTTTGCATTGTGTTTACACAAATCACGCATATATATATACATATCATCAATGATAATAGTGATCATAAATAACATATTATTAGTAACAACAATAATAGTGTATACATATATATATACAGTATATACATTCATGATCGTCAGAGTGTGCATCCGAATGCTGTTGAAATTGGTCGAGTCCTCGACGGTGATCCACGTGTCAATGGAGCAGGCAGACGAGTGCTGTTCGAGTGCTGGGTCGCCGGAAACCTCATGATATAAATGATAGATAATGGTTGATTGGTCAATATAGGGAATTAGTTATACTAGCTATTTTATTGTGGCGCCAATGATTTTTCATGGTAGCTTTCCTACCACTTACACTTGCAACTTCATCATTTTCAGACACATATTCTGAAGGAATGGACGTGAGCCTTCAGCAAGTCAGAGACAGCCACATTGTAGCCATGCTTCGGTCTTTAACTGGTTGGTGGTTTCAAACATGAATTTTATTTTCCATAATAATTATATGGGATAATCCTTCCCATTGACGAACTCATATTTTTCAAGATGGTTATTGCACCACCAACCAGTTAACGTTGGGGTGGATGGCAAAACACTTTAGCAAACCACATCATATTTTTTGCTTTTAGGGGATCAACTGCGAGACATTGCCCAGATAAGTTTGTATCGACTCTTAGACTACGCAAGGCTAAAGCACCTTTCTTGGGACCAAACCCTTTCTTAGATTATACATACATGAAAAACCATTAAAGATATCAAGATATATCAAGGCATTACAGTATCACGACATTTTCAAAAACCCTTCTCCGCATATTCTATGGCATGTCGCCGTGTGCTGCATGCCGCATGCCATCGCTGGAAGGGTTGAAGGTGCGAGTTGGAGAGTACTTGTAGGAGTCCTTGGGATAGGGGCTATGGACTATGGGTTTGTATGAACATATTCCATTTGCTCCATGTATTGTATATATTATTATTGTAGGTAGATTTGCTCCATTTGGCCATGTTTAGGTAAATTACATTCTGGTTGGTGGTTTCAAACATTTTTTAAGTTCCATATATTGGGAAGAATCATCCCAACTGACCAACTCATATTTTTCAGAAGGGGTAGGTATACCACCAACCAGTAGTTATAAATCCAACATTTCTAGCTATTTCTAGTTATAATCCTTCCCATTGACTAATATTTTTCAAGATGGTTATTGCACCACCAACCAGCCATTAATATCCCATCAAGATCCCAATAATATCCCATTCAATTTCCATTAAATTCCCAGAGGGTAAATTACATTAGATGTTGCAAAAAATACCACGGAAAAAACACTGAAATTGCGATAAGGCTTTGAGATGGCCGTGGGGGTCTCGCGATCGGAAAAAAAGGTGGTGCCACTGGGTCTTACCATCCTATATATATATATATATATATATGCACCAGGCCCTGCCACCCCCCCCTCCCCCCCATGGGATCGCTCCCATATACCATATACTGCCCCCATATGAGATCTTCCCCCTCCCCCCCTGTGGTCCCCCCCGTGGTGTGGTGGGGGTGTGGTATGGTATGTTGGGTATGTATGGTGTGTATGGTCGGTCTGGTATGGCATGTTTGGAAAGTATGGTATGTTTGGTATGTATGATAGGTATGCTATGTATGGCATGAATGGTTGTTATTGTATGGATGGTAAGTATGGTATGTAAGTCTGTTGGGTATGGTATGTTTGATATGACAGTATGTATGGTATGTATGGTTAGTATGGTTACTATGATGGGTATGGAATGTTTCCTATGTACGATAGGTATGGTATGTATGGCATGTATGTTTGGTATTGTATGCATGGTAGGTGTGGTACTTGTGTTTCATATGTATGGTATGTGTGGTCTGTATGATAGGTATGATAGGTATGGTATGTATGGTTACTATGATGGGTATGGCATGTTTCCTATGTAAGGTATGTATGGTATGTATCGCATGTATGTTTGGTCTTGTATGTATGGTAGGTGTGGTAATTATGTTTCATATGTATGGTATGTGTGGTATGTATGATAGGTATGATAGGTATGGTACGCATGGCATCATTGGAATGTATGGTAGGTACGGCATATGTTCAACACATGTAGTGTTGTGAGAGTACACAGGTAGTAAATAGGAAGTAGATACATAGCACATGTATATATGACTATAGGTGGCACGTAGGTACTTTGAGGGAGTATGTGTGCTACGTAGGTCGCCTAGAAGGTAGCATGTACCTAGTAAATGCGAGGCTGGTAGTCAGAAATGCTGCAAAGACCTAGCAAATACGAGGCTGGACCTCAGAAATGCTGCCAATAGCTTGCAAATAGAAGGGAAAGGGGGGTGCTACCTGGGGACCCAACCCATTGGGGGGGGGCGGGGGTGGGTGGAGAGACGGGGGACGGGACCATATATACATAGTGTATATACATAGTGTATATACATAGTGTATATACATAGTGTATATACATATGTATATATATATATACACATAATATAGTATATACATAGTATATACATATATATATGCATATATATAATATATATATACATGTATCACTATATATAATATAGTTATAGGTTACTTGAATTCCTATTCGCTTGGGCCGGATAGCGGACAGTCACTGGAATGATACATTGGTGAAATGTGCACTGGTGAAATATCAGCGATGTTATAACTATTCCTAGGGAAACCATAGCAAAATCATGGGAAAACCATAGGAAATGTGGGAAATCCCCTATAACTAGGTCAACCACCGCATTAAAAACGCAAAGAACAGCGACCAACTGTTTTTGTGATGACTAGTTGATGCCTTTACTTGCGGTGCTAGTCATTGTTTTGATAGGGGGAACCAATGTTTTACCATATCTCCCAGTTTTGTAGAGACCTGTAACCAAAACAAAACCTGAAGGACCGTGTTTGCAAGGAACAACTCCTGCTCCATCTGAATTGGAAAGGCAAAAATGGTTGAAACCATAGAAACAGAAACAGTTTTCACTGGAAAAAAATCACCCCCTAATTCATCAACCAGGATGCACTAATCCGGGTGTGATATGACTTGCAAGTATCAACGAGAGTTGGTTGTTATTTGCCTGGCACGGCCGCTTGACGCATTTCAAATGCAGCCGATCCTACTGAAACCCGAGGATATTTCACGCAAACAACATGTCAGGTTTGGATGATTTTAAGCAGTTTGGACAGATGCTTAAATTGTTTGAAGTTTTTGTTGACCTCAGGATGAAATTAATACCACATCTCCAGTTAAACATGTTAAACTTTGAGCAGCAGATCAATCACAAGACAAATTGTGCATCATCACATATCATAACATATACATTAATCATATCATTAATGTATATCACCCACATATTATTCTATTCTATCCTATTCTATCCTATTTTAATTATAGTCCATTCTATTCTATTCTAATTCTATTTTATTCTATTCTATTCTATTCTATATTCTATCCTATTCTATATTCCGTTCTTTTCTATTGTATTACTGTACATGTAACAGCATATAATATCATATATCAAATATCATATCATATCATTAAATCATATTATATGATAGTATATCAGTATATCATAGTATATCAAATTGTATCATCTTACATATCAAATCATCTCATAGTATATTGTCGATTATATGGAGTGCATCTGACTTACTGGTGCTAAACGTAGGGAAATTTCGGGAATGATCCATAATCACATTCGTAATAATCATCCCAGCAACCTCCAGCAACCCATCCATTCCCTACGTAAAACGCACCAGTAAGATGATGAAGAATTCCGAAATAAACTACCCAGGCTCGAGTTCCGAACCGAGTTCCGAACCGAGGTCCTGGATGATTCGGCAGGATGGTACTCGGTAGGGAGCCCAGCGCAGCGATTTGTTGGCTGAAGCATTTTGTGGTGCCCATCATGGCTTAAACATTGGATTAAACATGATGGTTGCCCACTAAAAATGATGGATGGTTTTAATATGTGTTAATTCAACAATAAGTTAATTATCTAAAAACAATTGATAAAAAACTGATTGATAATGATTAAGATGAACTAAGATGATTGATAACCATGCAACCATCATCAACCCCTAAATCCATCGTTTTCATGTGGATTTTCGGCCAGCCAGGGCAGCCCGAATATCCACCGTCCCTGGCGGTTCATACACCGAAAAAGATTGGGCATGGTTTATGAAATTGGCTTTAGCCTCTAAACATACAAAAAGCTATCGAAAATGGCATGTTTTCCATAGAAATTAATATAGTTTTAGCCTCTGGTAGATACAAAAAGACCAACAAAATCTAAAAAGCTGAATAGCAGTGAGAATGACCATAGAAATAGTTGATTTACCCAGCTTTGAAACATGGTGATTTTCCATAGTTATGTAGCTGTTTACCAGAGGGTACCACATTATCTGCATGTTCATACCAAACATGAGCAATTGCGT